TAGGGATTTTGGCAAATTAGAGGATTCTACGTTTTTCCTGCAGCAGTCGTTGCCATGCTTGTGAGTTCGGGGAAAGAGGTGAAAAAATGGTCTTGAAGTGCTCATTCTAAAGTAGGAGACTGCAGTTTTCTACAATACTGCAAAACTGAGTAACTAGGAAAATTTGCTTGCAACTGTTGTCTTTTCTTTTTGTATATTTGGTATTCGCCTTATATATGTGAAATAGAAATAATGAATGAATATATTCATAGACTCCAACTACTACGGATTCTCCGTAGTTTCTACGGAAATTCATGAAAAACTACGAGCTACGAAAAGTATGGAAAAAACTACGGATTTTACAGAAACAAGAGCAGGAGAACAAGTACGCAAAACGGAACCAACTAATTCATCCGATGATTAGCTGAATACTCGTGTTATCATATATCACGTGTTGAGTGCGTTCCTAGTTTTGAAGAATTAGCCAATCGTAGATCAGTAACTCCAACCGTTAACGACTTATCAATAGTTCCACCCAATTGTCTGTCTCCCAGGTTCCTCGCTGATGCGTGTTTAGGCTGCATTCGGCTGCATTGTGTAGTTTACGGCGAGAGCTTAGCGTGTGTCTTGTGAACTGTGAATCAGGTGAAAGATTTTTAATCATAATGCTGCCTCGAACGAAGAAGCCAAAATTATCAAAGCAGAAGTTTAAAGATTCATATTCTTCAGAATTTCCATGCATTAAAGCGTCCGAAATTTCTGTGAATCACGCACACTGCAGTGTAACAAAGACTTCTCAGTTGCTCATGGCGGAAAAGATGACTGTAAACGGCATGTGTTTTCTCAAAAGCATATAGAACTTGGCACCGTAAAATCTAAAGAAATAACAAATTTCTTTATAAAAGATGATGAAACAGATCCTATAAAAGCCGAATGCTATTTTGTTCGTTTTTTAATTGAACATAATCTACCGCTTTCTGTTTCAGATCATTCCAAAGAGCTTTTCAAAGCAATGTTTCCGGATTCTGCCATAGCAAAAAATTTAGCTGCGGTCATACCAAAACTGCTGCTATTGTGAAAACGCTTGCAGAAAATACTGTTGCTGATATTATAAAATCAGTGTGCAGTACATCATTTTCTCTAAGTACTGATGGAAGTAATGATAACAATGATAACAAACTGTACCCATTGGTTATAACATACTACAGTAAAGAAAAGGGAGTGATAATTACTTCATTGATTTCTATTTTAGAATGCACGAATAATACAGGAGAAGGTATTTTTAATTGTATAAATGAAAACTTTAAAAACAAAGGTTTAGAATATAAAAATTGCTTATCATTTTCTTCAGATAATGCTAGTAATATGATTGGAAAGTTTAAAGGTGTAGCATCATTTATCAAAATGCATCAACCAAGTATAATCACCCGAAGTATAATCACCAAGTATAATCACCGAATCATTGTCCGTGCCACCTCTTGCATATAGCTGCAAAAAAAGCTACTGAAAAATTAATTGGCTCAGAAATTGAAATGTTGATAATAGATATATATTTTACTTGGAGAAAAGTTCGAAACGGAAGCATAGCTTCAAAGTTGCTCAACAAATTTTGGGACAGAATGCAAAATCTCATAAAATTTTGAAATATTGCAGTACGAGATGGTTGTCCTCTTTTAGAATCTATAAATAACAGGATTTTGGAACAGTGGGATGCTGTGATAAATTTTTTTGGAGATAAACCAGATAATAGTGAGAATGAAGGAAAGAGATTGCAAAACATTAAAAAATTTTACAGTCACCGACCACCAAATTGTACTTGTTATTTTTGAAAAATACTTTTGCCTTTGGTTTAACAGTAAATATTAATTTGCAACAACAAGCTCCTTATATACATAAATTGAGAAGAGAACTTTTTGAACTTTTAATGAATTTACTTGTTAGATTCGTAAAACCATCAGTAATTTCTAAAGAAAATGAAGATGTTACTCTAACGTCTATTCCATTTCAGAAGTATAGTAAACAAAAAGAAAATGAAAATTTAGTGATTGGTGCGGAAACAAGACTATATTTTAAAAATGCCAAGTTGAATGAAAGTGAAGTGAAATGATTTTTCAATTCTGTGCGAGCTTTTTTTGGTAACTGCATGTTCATATATAATTGATAAATTTCCACTGAGTGATCCATTTCTAAAACATGCTGAAGTTGCTGACATCAACTTGAGAACTGAAGTCTCATTTTCATCTGTTCTTTACTTGATAATTACTTTTCCATCCATTATTGATGAAAAATGTCTTAATCAAGTAGAAATTGAATTTTCCATGTATTAAGTAGATGATTTGAAAGAAATTGTAGATTTGCGTATTGATATAGCATGGGGAGAAATTGCCAAATTAAAAAATATGAATGGGTGTATTAAATACAAAGTATTGCCTTCTGTAATGCTTGCTGTCTTAATAATACCTCATTCAAATGCAGCTTGCGAAAGAATTTTTTCTATTGTTAAAAAAAATCAGACGGAATTTCGACCAAATTTAGGTCTTAAAACTCTTGAGCAGTTTTGATTGAAAAATAAATATGCAGGCAAATGAAGAACTGTGTTATAAAAAAACATTCTCAAATCAGAACTTAAGCTTGCTAAGCATGCTACATATAAATCTTTGCATTCATAAATTATGCGTATTTTGTTTAATACTTATATGTATCATTCTTGGTTATTTAAATTTTATTTCCCTGTAGAAATCATATCCAGAATAAAGATATGATTTATAGCTTCTGATTTTTTCTATGATTAGTAGTGATTGAAGTACTTTTTATTAGTGAATGCTTGAGGAGTTAAAAGAAAATTTCTAATTAAATGTGCATATAATTTACAAGGTATATTTTTAATTATTCAGTTTTATATGTATATGGATTTTAAATGTAATAAAATTGATTACAATTAATTATTAATTTAAAATTAATGAATGGTTAATTACAACATACGCTACGCGCACATTTTCAAAGTTGTAAAAATGTCGTTCGCGCGTTGACTACTGACAAGGTTTGCTGAAGGTTGGAGTCTATGTATATTTATTAAACTTTGGTCATTAGCAATAAATTAAGAGGAGGTGAATAAGTTCGTTTTAATTGAGTTATGATGTGTTTGGGAACTACTTGCGATCCTGCACAGTAAATTTAATTTTATTATATTTTCTGTAAATTAACCTGAAACAGAGCACTAAATTCTCTTCCTTTTTAAAAATTTTTATTTTAAATATTTAAAACTTTCAACCAGAGGAAAACCGTTTCTTCGAAACTTATCCATAGATCAGCATAAAAGTTTTGACTTAATGCATTATAGATTCAGACTGTATTAAATATTCCGAATTCTCATAAACACAGAATTTTTGCGAACGAATACTGGAGCACAGTTACTATCAATAACGTTTAACATTTTTGTTCTTTTTTACATCAATCTTACCTTTTTAATCTTGAAAGACCACCTGTTATTGATATAACGCTAGACCTGATTTTCTGCGTACAATGAATGAAATAAAAGCAATGAGGAAATAAAGCTTGAAAGAGAAGACAGTAAATTGTTTTAGAAATCTTGATTTTCAAGAGAATATTATTAGCAACAAAGAAAATATTTCTAAATTCTTTGTGCTGATAATGACTGAAAAAATGTTCCAGAGCAAGAATCATGCCTTGTTCCTTTCAACCATATTCTCTAATCTGGTCCTTGTATTAAAAAAAAAAAAAAATCAGATTAATTGTTTAGTGTTTCCTCTTCCTTGAAGATTCTCTAGTGCTTCTATTTGAGTGACCAGAATTATACTTTTTTTTTTTTAAATTCTTAAGATAGAATACCGTAAAAGATTGGCATTTAAGGTAGCCATTTGTAGCTGGTGCCTACATGTTAGCAACCATGTTACTCTCCGCTTTCATAGATATTTAGGTGCTAAACGAAATTATCGTTATCCACTGAGCGCAGCTTAGCCGATGTTACCGCTCTGTCTGATTACCTTACTAATGCTTTATTTTAGTCGAAGGATTTGCAAAGTTTCTGAAATGGTGACACCTACTATCATATTTAATTACACAATTTTAAAAGGCGATAAATCCATATGGCTGCCTGTTAGAATACTCATATTCTTAATACCTGTATATTTCAGACTATCTCACTACATGAATCTGATTCTAGCGTTATGTAAGCGTTTTCTGCTTTCTATCCTTATCATTTCATTTATACAGGATTTTCAATTTAAAAGGGAGTTTTATGATCTGAAAATATTCTTTAATGTTCTAAGAAAAGTTTTGACTAATAGATTTTATACATTTGTGTATTTTATGTATATATATGAGCACTTGTTCTGCTCAAAAGCTTGGTCTGAAATCAACAGATTTTTTAGCAATCGAAAACCTTTCAGCCCTGTTGACGGAAATTTAGTTCAAAATGATACATGAATGTAATGTAATAATGTGTAATTAAATAACAAAGTATAATAATTTCATATGTAGGGCGCAAGATTTTGCGAGTCATTTGCTTAAAATCAACCATCAGCTACAACAAAATATATTTCAGAAAGATTTAGCGATTCATGTGCATTTCCGAAGCGAAGCGAAATTTTTGAAGAAATTTAAATAGACAGTAAAATATAGCAATACAGTGACAATTTAACAGACAATTGTTCAAGTCTCTTTAAAGGACACGTAATAAAACCTTTCATGAGTTTTGTAAAAGCTGATAATCTATCATTTCAAGAAGACTGTATCCCAACAACTAGGTGCAGGCTGTAGTTTTTACGCACGCAAAATGGCATTTGTCATCAGCTTTGAGTTTGCTGTACAGCCAAAATATGTATATTTATTTACCCATCAGATGATTACCTGACGCGGAAAATTAAAGAAAAAATATGTGAACTTGAACATTAATATCTTGTATGCGGATTAAGCATAAGCTACTTTATCTGTCTGATAATAAATATAATTATAGCCTGTATTTCATCGTTTCCCCATTTCTGTAATTTTCAGCACCAGTGTTTGTATGCTAGTAATGTTTATTTCTTTTCAGCTAATCTTAACTAACATTGGCCTTTGCAGTTAATGGTTTATTTCTTTTCAGTTAATCTTAACTAGCATTGACCTTTGCAAATAAGAAAGAGGGATATTCTTTTAAGCTTTACAGCTTAAGTTACAGAAATAACAGAGTTCTTTTTTTCGCAGGTTTACATATTTTATTGCTATTAATTACCTATACATTTCTTTGAGTATTTGCTTTTATTTTCTTGTATATTTATTCTTAGTTATTCTGCATTATTTTGTATTTACATTTATTCACTGCTTATTTGTGTGGCTTTTACGTTATGATTTTGTTTATATTTCTTTCTTATTTATTGATATTTAATTTTGTGTAATTTTGTATTTTATGTCTTTAATCAGTTTATTAGTATGCCAATACGCAATTTAATTTTGTGCAGATAATGACTGGAGATTTAATAGCTCAAATTTAGCCTGAGAAACTTCCTGTTAATATCCACTCGAACTTAACGTCACTGGGGTAGTAAGCCAAATGTAGCGATTCTTTGGAATGTTGCAAAATTTTAAATGTTATGTTCTTACATGTATTCCGAACGATTTTACCAGGAAATTTCAGATTTCTTTCCTACTGCCTCCTGGCGGAAGTACAAAAGAGTGATCTACAAAAACTTGCAGTTAACGACTGACAAAAAAAAAAAAAACCCAAGTGTGGTTAAATAAAAAAGACTGTTGCAGCCATTTTCTTGCATATCGAAAAAGCTTTCGGTACGTTCAGTCCCAGTAATCTACTACGTAAACTTATTAATTAAATTCTTCTGCTGAAACTATTCTAATATTAGCCAGCTGTCTCAAAAACTGTACTTTTAAAACATATTAAAAACGAACATATTTTATCGCTAGTACTCTCTTTGCTCAGTATACTGATAACACGGCGTTACATTTAAGATAAAACTTTGTTACAGATCATTGGAATAACTAATTTAAGAAGAAGTTTAAAGTTCTACAAAAAGTGCTGTAATCGCATTCCAGCGATACAAGAATCATTAATTAGTTGACGACGTTCGCATAGACTGTGTCACGATACTTCATAGTGGGCAAGCAAAATACTTTAGATTTATTCTAGATGAAAAACTCACTTCTAAGTGAAACTGCATTCAAATGACAAAGCACAAAGAGCATATTCTTTAGTTAGCAATCTTTAGTTAGATTCCCTCTTCCTATGACTAAAAGGCTTTTATACCTGCAAATGATCGAAGTAATTTTAACATATTCGTGTGGGAAGTGTTTATTAAAACAAATAGAAAACGCTTGCAATGTTAGAAATTTAGCCTGATTTTAAACGCTGTTTGATTTACTAGGAATTCAAGAATTCACTTTGATTTTAAAATCAAATCTACTGGCAGAAAGCTACTGATATCTCTGCGTAATTTCTATAAAAAAACTGCGTCTATGTGTAACGTGGATACGAGCTAATTCCTCTAAGAAATTCCCTGCGAAGGCATTCCTTCCTTTATGCAGATACACCTACTGGGCTTTGCCATAAAAAAATAAACCAAACAAAGCACAAAAATTGGGAAAGCCATAAAATAAATTCCACTTAACCACTATTTTACAAATAATGATTATCTCATTATGCAAGCTTTCCAACGAGCCATAACTCTACACCACAATAATCATCAGTAATTAATGGTTTTAGCCTTTACCGAGATAGCACGTACCATATAAGCTCATATATACGAGCACGCGCACACACACATAGATATTATATATATATAAATAAACGTGATGGATATAAAATGGTACAAGCAAGGTTATCTGCGTCCTGGAAAATAATGTGTCAGTTAATACATGCAGATGGCAGCTAAGCACATAATAGTAAGCTTATACGATAAAACTACAAAAAGCCAAAACTCGCAGCGCTTCTAATCAGCAACAATAGCAAGGCAAAGGTGCAAGAAACTACTGATTGTATGAAATCAACACTCTTCTGGATCCCAAGGAACATGTGGGTATCGCAAGCAATGAGAAAACAGATCAAACGAGAAGTCGCAAACCTAGCTACTTCACAGACGCATATAAGCCTCTCCACTGGGCGCTAATTTCAAGGTTCTGGTTTTGCAAAAACAGCAAGATGAATGGAATCAGTGTGACAAATCCAAATCATTGTTTCTAAAACCACAACTGAACAAACACTGTTGAATTGAGAGCAGTCAAATTACACGATTTGTAATGTGATACAGATTCTTCCCGCATTTCCCCAATAAATTTATCTTGAGAGATACAAACCTTTGCATTTGCGATGGTCTTCGTGACGTTAATTAGTTCTCTTTCTGATGTGAACCTGATTAGACAATATCATCGAAGAAAACTTGCATTTCTGTACGCTAACCAGTGGTCCTACAAATTGATTACGAATCTACTGCATTATACAAACTAGCAGCCTTGATTAATTACCGATCTGAATCAGATATAACCAGCATAGCAAATTTAGCTTGGTTAAATGATGCTTTTAATCTATCGTCTGCCACTGTATACACATATATTTCAAAGCCTGTAACTATTTTTTAATAATGGTCGATACCATTATCTTATATCAGTTTTCTAACCCCTTCAAGCACGAATTTTTTTTGGGAACAACTGCTAAAAAAGGATAGAGTTTTTTTTTGTTTTTGGCAGAAAATGAATAATGTTACTTTTTTATTTGTACTAGTTATTATTTGATTTTTACTAATTTGCTACCAGTTTCTTGCTACAGCCAAAATCTCGTCATCATTATCTTCAGATTCACTTCCATCACTCAACAGATCATAACTTTCACCGCTGAAACTTTCTGATAAATTGCCATATTCAAAATCGTCAGAGTCGCTCATTATCAGATAACGTTTTCTAAATAAGTTCCAAAAACACTTAGTGAAATTTAATTTATGGTTAACTGTTTAGTTTTATACAATTAACGCAATAAAAATGGATATATTACCTTTTCCACACCAAACAACTGCTTCATAACAAAGAATTCCTAATGAAATTATAGCTAATCATCAAAATGCACCACGTGGTTTACACAACAAAATGCTGTGTAGTGGTGCCCTTTATGATAAATAAGTTTAATTATAATCTAGCCTATCTAGTTTTACTAGAACGGATCTCAGACGGGCATTTTAGAAATGAAATAACGCGAGATACAGGATCGCCCGTGTGAGACACGGGTATGTGCAAATTTGCCGGTAACTTTTAGCAAGAGATGCTGTCGGAACTAATTTGCGAAATTTTTTTCCTGTTCCTATTCCTGTTCATTCTTGTTCCTGTTTATAATTCACGTTTTTTTTGTCTTAGATATTATTCTTGTTACATACATTCTGTTTTTTCAGGTCACAATGTCTGATAGAGATGCGGCAGAACGAGCCGTAAAAGATGCCAACCCTATTATAGATGGCAGGAAAGCCAATGTGAATCTCGCCTATTTGGGAGCCAAACCGAGGATAAATGCACAAAACGGTAAGCTATTTTGCTGTTTTTACTAAATTATATACCACTTCATTCTTTATCATTATGTTAAATAATTTGAGATGTCTGCAAATATTTTATACTTACTGACAACAAGTGAAAACTTGGATAACAAATTTCTTGTTATTGTTGAATTTTCATACATACATTTAATCGAGAACCATAAAGACAGAAAGGAATTATTTTGCAGTTAACACTGTTTTTGATTAACCTTAAAAATTTTGGTTTTAATGCCGGGGGGGAAAAAGCTATATCGCGTTAGTCAATTTGGGTACTGAAAAAAGTTAAATGGTTAATTATTTATTGCCGAATAAGCGACGGGTAACTTCTAGAGGACGTAGTTGCCATTTTGATGGATTTCTTTGAAAAACCTTCTCGTATTTGCCTAACATAAAGAAAAAAAACCCTCAAAATCTCTCTGCACCTAGCCCATTCTATCACCCAAAATAATTTCTAGAAGAAACGTGTCCACTGTTTGACGTGCTAAGAAAGAAATCCTCATTGATCGTGCGATGTGCTTTTTCTGTTCCACACTTAAATTCTGAAGATTTCTTAGATTATTACTTTAAAAAAATATATGCGCTTTTACTCCACTGTACTCCTGTGTACTCCTATACTCTTATACAACAAAACTTTGTCTATCTTACAATTTAAATGCAGTTCGAAACAGCTATTGTAAGTATAAAAAAAAGATATTTTAGCACTGACGTAGCACCTTCTCTTTACAACAACGACGTAAAGCGCGACGTCAAAATTTATGTTCTGTACCCTGTTTTGGAAGAGGAAATGACTTCTGTTTTGCAGTTTTTTAGTAAATAAAAAAAAAACTGTATTCTTTTAATAATGGGTATGACGTAAATTAAGAGGAAAAAATTGGAGAGAGGATGTGTGATGACGTCTGGAGCATTCGGCATCAAGCCAGGATTGAACACTGGAAAAGTGATCGTTCATTCATCTGTTCGAACTATACTTGCACATGCAGCTTATCAATGGTCCTCAAATGTCATGTTGTTTTCTCGTCGCAAAAAAATAGTTGAAAAAATTTTAAAGAGTGTTATCGTCAGCAATCTGCACAATCATATTTTGTGGACTTATCATTTCTTCTTGACAAAGAAGCAGAAAAAGCAATTTTCTGGAATTTATTCATTTCAGAATCGAAAGGTTTGTTCAAATATTGAAGGGATATTTCGAAAATAACAGCTACATTTCAAATGCAAAATAAATGTATGAATTGGATATTAAACAGATTAACAGTAAATGATGAAATAAATAAAAATGAATGAATAACGTATTTACTCTCATATTACTCCTCCTCGTGTAATTTTCCTTAGATTTTTCAGCATGTGATTTAGAAACTTCTGATTTTAGGTAACAATGTAAAATATTTGCTCAAATAAAAAAGTATTTCCTGTAAGTAAAATGAATATTAAAATTGATAAGTTATTTGAAATTTATTATATAATAACTAGTGCGTCTTTATGTGGATTTTTAGTTTGCTATGTTTATCATTTAAACCGTCTCTTCAGAAATAGTACACACCGCATGTTTTGCCCCTCCCAATTTTGAGTGGTAAAATTAGCAGGTAAAGGAAGGGAAATATGGCGAGTTAATACATAAATAAAACTAAACGATTCTCTATCGGTTTACGAAATCTGCGGTGTTAAAAAACAATTTTTATTGATAGTGTTACAAATGTTCATAAAACTTTCCCTTAAATATTATTATGTTTTTTTTTTTTTTTTTTTTTTTTTTTTTTTTTTTTTTTTTCTCTGACATTAGCTGTTACGTTATTTTCTTCCTTCACGTTCGTAGGGTTCGTAGATTTGGTGATAATGACGACACTTGATGAAGAATATCGAACACACTTTATTTACTAATATTATCAGATACTCCAAATCACGTTTACAGTCTCGAACTGTTTATAACACGCTGACACTTCAGCGACACAGCCTCCGGGCTACTAGGCTATAACGGTGGAAACAGCTTCTCGGCAAAGAACCAGACCAGTACAGCTCCCGACTCTACTCGGTCGAACTCCACGCACTCTCGAGGCTCTCCACGCTACAACTGGCGACGCACTCGACGATATACTAGAGTACAACTCCATCGACTCGGTTCAGTCGTTCCTGGAGCTCAACACACTCTAAGATGAAACTCGACGATGACTAACCGCGATACACTAAGAGACTCTTCGACGACCCACTCGGCACTCGCTGGCCCGCTGTCAACTCGATCGTCTCCGCACGGACTACCTAGATGAGGCACACACCATGACTGCGGACCAGTAGAGTTTATATAGCTTTCGGCTTGTGTTCGAGAACATTCTGGGCTAAACCGGCAAGAATTCGTTCCAGAAGATTCTCCATGCGTCCATGGCATCGCCAAACGCCGCCAAATGGGCAATTTCTCAACAAATGTGGCACCCTGCCTTCCCAAGCCATTTTATGGCAATCCTAAAACTGCTTTGCGAGGAAGCGCCTGTACATTTCGTAACAATATTATATCTTCATTATATCAGTTCGCTAAATCTAGCTATTCAAAATGAAATAAAGTTTTAAATTACTAAGAAATATGTTTGTTGCTGTTTCATTACTGAAACTGTTAGGAAGTTACAAAGTGGCTATATTTGAGAGGTAAATTAAAGATCACATACTTTATTAAATGGAAGTTTACTGAAAGCTGGCTATTTGTCAGCTATGTCAAAAACAAATATAGACCTTGTTACTATGTGGCATAAAAGACACGGTAGTGTAATATAAAATCTACAGTTTGGGAAATATTCCGCTATGACATTGCTAACGTCAAAAAATGCTTATGCCTATAGCATAATGGTTGAAGAAACGTGTAACATATTTAAAAAAGATTAACTGCTGGTTGGTAGTATTTAGTTTTTCTTTTTAAAGAAAAAAAATATGCTGCTTGGAAAGTTTCTCGGGTATGTTAAACTGAATGAACTGGATGCTTAAAGCATAACAATCGAAGTAGACAATTTTCTGGACACTAAATCTGCTTACCGAAAGAAAGAGAATAAAATTCTGCTATATTTTTAATTGGAGAGATTTGCTGGAAGTATTAAGATTCCAGAAAGTTTTTATTAAGCCTGAAATTCCTTGCTGTTATAACTTGTCTCACTTATCTAACAGTAACACCAGATCATCACCACGAATTTTATTGTTACGTTTTTCTTATTATTCTTCTGACACCAGTTGTTACGTTATTTTCTTCCTTCACGTTCGTACGGGGTTCGTGTAGATTTGGAGTGAATAACGACGACACTTTATGAAGTATCGAAACACACTTTATTAGTCAATATTGTCAGGACAGCTCCAAAACACATTTTACAGTCGTCTATGAACTACTATAAACACGCTGGAACAATCAGCGGCACAGCCTTCACACTGTCAGGCAATAACAGGGGAGACAAGCTTCCTGTAAAGCACTAGACTCTGCTTTCCAGAGTACAGCTCCCGACTCTGCTTGGTCGTTCTCGGAACTCCACGTACTTTCGAGACTCTCCACGCTACAACTCGCGATGCACTCGACGACACTCAGAGAACAGCTCCTGACTCTCGGTTCAGTCGTTTCCGGAGCTCAACGCGCTCTCTCGACGATGCTATAACCGCGAAGCTCTACGAGACTCTTTCGGTGCACTCGACGATCCACTCGGCACTCGCTGGCCGGCTGTCAACGCGATCGCTTCCGCAGGGATTGACTCGCTAGACGAGACACACTCACTCGATGAGAGACGCACACTTTCCCTCTCGATGAAGCACCCTCCCTGACTGCAAACCAGCAGGGTTTATATAGCTTTCGGCTTGTGTTCGGGAACATTTTGGGCTAAACCGGTAAGAATTCGTTCCAGAAGGTTCTCCAACCGTCCATGGTATATCGCCAATTTTGTCGCAAATGTCGCCAAATGTGCGATTTCTCGCCAAATATGGCAACTTTTTCCTTCTTGGTATTTTATCGCAACCCTAAAACTGCTTTGCGGGGAAGCCATCTCACCGCGCCTTTACATTTCGTAACATTATGTTGGCTAGGAGCGTAAGATTGAGTCTGTCGTTGGCATGGAGCTTGGCTACATTATAAGGTAGCAGTCCCATTCCAATTTTAAAGAATTTTCAGTTAAAGAGACTTTCACCTCTCTTTCTCTGTCAAAAAAACCATTTGAGAGGACTTATAACTTGCCGTTCCCCTTATCGCAAAGACACGTTTAAAGCTTCTCTGGAATTTTAGCTCAGTACATCGATAGGACAACCAATATCATTATCTCCTATACCGACAAGGACGGCTCTGAAACTTCATAAATAATATGGCTGCAGCCAGAGCTGTGAGGCGCGAAATTCAAATATAGTAAATGTCGTATTATCTTGAAAGGCATAAAATAGTATTTAAAGGAGGTAGTACACGAATTTTCATTGGGCTTTTATCTTTGGCTGGCTTTGTCTGCAATAAGTTAAGAAATAAATTCTATCGTTTAATAAATCTGCATAAGACGAGTAAAATAAGTAGAAAACATATGGTGGTTCTTTTTTTTTTTTTACTTTTTTTTTAATATCATCAAAAGCTGTATTGCGGTGAATGCTATATCGCAATATAGCATGAGTGTTCCGAATGCTATATCCCACATGAATGCAATATTACTGCAGTGTAGAACTTTATTAACTGAAAGAGAATTCCATCAAAAAGTGTAATAATAGTAATTACTGAGAAGATGCGTGTTGTTCCATATCAAAGCTTAATGACTCTGAAAATGCCATCATTTTAATTATTATTTTGGAGAGGATTGGAGCAAAACGATGATTCAAAGTATGATTGTAAATCTAATACCTCTGAGTTTTAAAGCAATGTTGATGGTATCTTAACTTAACTGCAACGTTATTTCATTCTTGCCATGAGTTGTTTATCCGCTTTTGTAACCTGAATTACTTTCTGCTTGTTTTGTTGCATGCTCTATCCTGGTTTGTGATGGCGGCGAGCCAGCGGCCAAA